ATGTAGGAGGGTTCCCCTTTCTCCACATCCTCGCCAGCATTTGTTGTTGTTTGTCTTTTGGATGTTGGCCATCCTAACTGGTGTGAGGTGATATCTCGTTGTGGTTTTAATTTGCATTTCTCTGATGACAAGCAATGTGGAGCACCTTTTCATGTGTCTGTTGGCCATCTGAATTTCTTCTCTGGAGAACTGTCTCTTTAGATCCCCCACCCATTTTTTAATTGGGTTATTTGCTTTGTGGGTGTTGAGGCGTGTGAGTTTTTTATACATTTTGGACGTTAACCCCTTGTCGGATATGTCATTTACAAATATATTCTCCCATACTGTAAGATGCCTTTTTGTTCTGTTGATGGTGTCCTTTGCTGTACAGGAGCTTTTTAGTTTGATGTAGTCCCATGTGTTTATTTTTGCTTTTGTTTCCCTTGCTCGGGGAGATGTCTTCAGGAAGAAGTTGCTCATGTTTATATTCAGGAGATTTTTGCCTATGTTGTCTTCTAAGAGTTTTATGGTTTCATGACTTACATTCAGGTCTTTGATCCATTTCAAGTTTACTTTTGTGTATGGGGTTAAACAATAATCCAGTTTCATTCTCCTGCCTGTAGCTGTCCAGTTTTGCCAACACCCGTTGTTGAAGAGGCTGTCATTTCTTCATTGTATGTCCATAGCTCCTTTATCATCTATTAATTGACCATATATGGTTGGGTTTATATCTGGGTTCTCTAGTCTGTTCTATTGGTCTGTGGGTCTATTCTTGTGCCAGTATCAAATTGTCTTGATTGCTGTGGCTTTGTAGTAGAGCTTGAAGTTGGGGAGCATAATCCCCCCAGCTTTATTCTTCCTTGTCAGCATTGCTTTGGCTATTCAGGTCTTCTGTGGTTCCATATGAATTTTAGAATAATTTTTTTCTAGTTCATTGAAGAATGCTGTTGGTATTTTGATAGGAATTACATTGAATCTGTAGATTGCTTTAGGCAGGATGGCCATTTTGACAATATTAATTCTTCCTATCCATGAGCACAGGATGTGTTTCCATTTATTGGTATCTTCTTTCATTTCTCTCATGATGAATGTCTTGTAGTTTTCAGAGTATAGGTCTTTCACTTCCTTGGTTAGATTTATTCCTAGGTATTTTATTCTTTTTGATGCAATTGTGAATGGAATTGTTTTCCTGATTTCTCTTTCTGCTAGTTCATCGTTAGTGTATAGGAATGCAACAGGTTTCTGTGTATTAATTTTGTATCCTGCAACTTTGCCAAATTCAGATATTAGATCTAGTAGTTTTGGAGCAAATTTTTTAGGGCCTAAATTCCACTCTTATCAGCCATTCCCTCAACTTTCTCTGGCCATGGCTGGCCCTGTCCCAACCCCCATGTACTGACACTCAGGTGAACCAAGGAGGGGCTTTCTCTGGCTGTATTTAGAAGAGATCCAAAATAACAGTGACTTAACCAAGACAGAGGTTATGTCTATCTCACACACACACACACACACACACACACACACACACACACACACACACACAGCATAAGTCCACAGACAAACCGTCCAAGGCCAGTATGTAACCAGCCCCACAAAGTCCTCAGGCACCCAGCCTCCTCCACCTCCCTCGTCCTCCATTCATAAAGTGTGGCCTCATCCTTGTGATCCAAGGTGGCACAACTCAGGCATTGGGATGAAGGGATGAAAAAGGAAGAGGCAAAGGCACATGATACAGGAGCTACCACCGGGCACTTCTGCTTCTACTTAACTGGCCAGAATTTATTCACACAGGCATACCTAGTTGGGAGAAGCTGGGAAATGTAGTATTTATTTTGGATGGCCGCATCGCTGCCTAAACTTGGATGTTCTCTTACTTGGGAAGAAGGGAAGACCAGATATTGGGAACAACTAGCAGCCTCTACTAAAAGGGTTAGATGTGTTGATGTGTTTGTGTGTGTGTGCACATATGATGTGTGTGATGTGTGTGTGCCTGTGTGTGTGTGTTTAGTGTGCTGGTGGGCCAGGTTCTGTCCATCACTTTGATCTCAGATGGACCTGTTAGTTTTCTCCACAGCCTCCCATGGAGCTCCCCTAAACTTAGCAACATTTTCTCAATTCCATATTTCAAGGAACTGTAATTTATTCTCAGCATTCACTAAAGCATTTTATCAGTGGTGATAGAGGGGGCTTATAAAACTGTTTCCCCATTCAGGTATTTACAGGTAGCTGTTATGTGAGAGCATCTATGACCAGAATTAATCTGGTAAAAAATTATCTTGGGAAGGAGGGTGTCATTGACACACAAATGCTGGAAAAGGATACCACTCAATCTTGTGCCTCGGGGGAAAGATCCAGAAATATCAGGCACCCTGTTGATATGCCCAGGAGAGGCAACTGGCCAAATACTAGATTCAGGGCTGCCTACAGGTAGCATTGCCCAAGCACTTCACACCCTGCTCAGTAATTAAACAATTCAAAAAAAGCTGGCATTTACTCCCTCACCTCATTTGACACACCCAACAGGCAGGGGCTTTCCTGGTCCATCTTGTTTACCCTTTTGAGCCAGGTGGTTATCTTAGTTCCATTTTACAGGTGGCAATGTATACTTTAAGGAAGTTAAGTGTCTTGCTCAGAGACACACAGCAAAGGGAAGGGCCCACTGCTGAAGCCTCCGGTCTAAGCTCTATGCTTTCCACCTTTACTTCCCAGAGTTTCATGACATCATAGTGGGGGGTTAGCACTATTTAACTCCATTCCACAAATATACAGTGGAAATGTTTATTCAGGTAATAAGTAATTAATCGAGGGAGTTTTAACTTTTTAAGAGAGAAAATAAGCACAAAAACACCTGAAGTGCTTCCTCCCCAGTTGCTCGGTATTTTTCATATTTAAAGTTGATGTGGGGTTACAATCGCATAGCTTCATCCTAGAGCAGGGCAATTGTTCCCAAGTACCATGGTCTCAGGAGGTGTCCTTGGTTGGACAGTAGAGTGGTTTGTAATTTGGGCTTTTCCTTAAAGGCTGGGGAAACTGTGGGGGTGGGAGAGTAGGAAGCATGCCAGCCTTTCTGGATTAGACGGAATCAGGCTCCACCACTGAACTGTTTGACTTTGGACAAGTTGATGTGTTTTTGGAGCCTCATTTTTCCCCTCTAGAAAACTCAGGTAAAAAACATACCTTTGATTAAGCATTAAAATAATATATAAACAGGTTGCGTATTTCTATTACATTAAATATGAATGTGAATTATACTAGTATTGCCACCTATGGACAAAGAACGTATTGCAGTAGTCCCCGCCTTTATCCACAGTTTTGCTTCCCATGGTTTCAGTAACTGAAGGTCAGCTGAGGTTCAGAAGCAGATGATCCTTCTGATGTATATGCAGAAGGTCAATGGTAGCCTAACACCATGTCACAATGCCTACATCACCCACTTCACTTCATCTTATCACATAGGCATTTTATCCTCTCTCATCATAAGAAGAAAAAGAGTTGGTACAATGAGATATTTTGGGAGAGAGAGAAACCACATTCACATAACTTTTATTATAGTATCTTGTAATTGCTCTTATTTTGTTATTGTTGTTGTGAGTCTCTTAGTGAGTCTCTAATTTATAAGTTGAACTTTATCATAGGTATGTGTGTATAAGAAAAAACAGTATATATAGGGTTCAGTACTAGCCAAGGTCAGTAATTCAGGCATTCACTGGGGGTCTTGGACTGTATCCTCTGGTTAAGGGAGAAGGAGTACTCTGCCTGTTCTTATTGAGACCCAGATGATACAGAATAGAAAAAAATCAGAGAAACACAAAAAAACTTTTTTTGCTATCTCCAGAACCTTCGTGCTAATATTTACTTGCATTTGATTATTATTTCAGGCTCATCCACACATACTTACCATGGATTATTGGCCACAGACTTGCATACATTTAACTTTATTGCCTTTTGCCTCATGTATCTCATTAAAACTTTGCAGCTCACTCAAGGATCTGCATATTATTAGTGTTAGAATTCATGACTCCATGACTTTGAAAGTTTCAAACATTCTGGCTGAACATGTTATATATTCTCACTTGTCTCCATGCCTTTGCACCAGCTGCTTTCTTGACCATTTATGGCAACCTCTGTCTACTCTTACTAACCCCTACTCGGTCTTTCATACCCAGCTCAGCTGACACCTCTTTCATGGAGTCCCCTTTGTACTCCCTTGATATCTCGTACTTGTCATTTATGCAAACGTCTTTATTCCTGTATTGGAATGGCCTGTTTACCCGTTTCTCTCTTTTATTAAACTGTAAGCAACTTGAGAGCAGAGAACATCCATTGTTTGCTGTTGTATCCTTGGTGCCTAGCACTGCATCTGACATATTATCAGACCTTCCATAAGTGTTGTTTGGATTCAGGCTCCCAGTGGGAGAGAAAGGAAGTAATAAAGCCAGTGATAAATGCCATCAGGGAGGTGTCAGCAGGTTGCTGTGAGAGAGTAATGGAGAGGACGAGTAACATAATCTCTAATAATAGGGTAGTAATAGAGTACATTTCACAACACCTTTAAAGCCCTTTCATATGCATTATCTAATTTGATCCTCATAAAAGCCTGGAGATATGTATATTGAGGGGATGAAGACGGAGTTCTTAGCGGTTATGTGACATGCCTAAAGTCAGGCAGCTACTAAATGGCTGAATGCAAACCAGACCTTAAAAGCCATTCTCTTCCTTGAAGCACACAGTGAAGCCATGTCATCAGCACCACGTCCATTTGCTCATGCCCTGGCTCACTGCTCTGTGGCCCACCCCACACCTCATCAGGGTGTTATTGATCAGACCTTGCCTCTCCCCACAGGAATTCCTTTCATTAATGTATTTCTAGGCAGCAAATTGTATTTGACTCTGCAGAGATGATAGCCATGGCCAAAAGCAAATCTCATTTTTATCTACATCAGATAATAGTACAGGTAACAGGACACATGGGTGTTTCTGGGATATGGCAACTTGCAATATGTGGTTCCTTCTGTTTTCAGGCACAAGAAGACCATCCTGGGAAGGAAGATGCATTGTGGACCCCTGTGGCAATTCCTGTGGCTTTGGCCCTATCTCTCCTACATTGAAACTGTACCCATCCAGAAAGTCCAGGATGACACCAAAACCCTCATCAAGACAATTGTCACCAGGATCAGTGACATTTCACACATGGTAGAGAGGGTCTGGGGAGACAGCAAAGAACTGTGGCCAGCCCACAGGGAAACTGGGACCTCGGAGGTAGATGAGGCCCATGCAGGGAAGTGTAGGGGTCATGATGGCCTGACGTCTCTCTGGAGCACAAACAGCTGCTTTTTCTCTCCTCTCCCCTCCGTCTCCTGCCTCCTTTCTCTCCTTTCTCCTTGAATGGAATCCCAGTGCTCAGGACCAGAGGGAGCCTTAAGGTCCTTGTGTTCCATTGGCAGGTAGCCAGACGGCCAGCAGCTCCCCTCTAGCCTCTGCCACATCCTTAGGATGTGTTGGGGAAGACTGTTTGTTCTCCCATTACTGCTAGTCCTGCCTGTCAAGACCACACAAAAGAGCAAGTCTGCCCTCTTCCATGTACAGTCCTCTCTGTATCTGCAAACAGCTACCAATGTCCCCTGCGTCTTTTCTCTGGGGTCCGAGCCTAGAACTTCTGCCATGTCCAGACGAGTTCTGTGTTTGAAATTAGGAAGACTAAGAGTGGATCTTCACACTTCTGTTCTCTAACTATAAAATCTTAAGCTAGTTCCTCAATGTCTTTAAGCCTTGATTTCATCATCTGGATAACAGGACTGTCACACAGTCTTCACAAGGTCGTCACAAGATTAGATTAGACAAAGCAAGTGCCCCTGCCTGCTGCAGAACTGGGCAGTGTGTCCTCTTTAAAGGTTGTAAGCTGTGGTGTTTGGTAAACCCTGGCCTTAAAAGCCTACTTGTTCTCCCTACATGGAGCAATCTGGAGATGTCTACATCTCTGCACTGCACTGCAGATGTTTGACAGCTTGGGCAGCAGGGCCAATTTAGGTGGTTAGAAGCAAGGACAGCTCAGAACTAGACTCAGCATTTTGTAGAGAGAAACCCTTAAGCCACCTTGCTTTCAAACTAGTCATTTGACAAAGCTGCTAGTAATAGATCCAGAGCATCGCAGCTGGCCTGGTGCAGGAGGCACTCGGGAAGGGGGAGAACCCCTCCTGGTAAGCAGTTACTGGAGCAGAGGAGTGAGGGGCGGGCACTCCCTAAGGATATGGCCTTAATCCCGAAGCGGGTGAGACTCATGGAGAACCTGACTGGGAGGGAGAAACACACTGGGGGTGGAAGGGAAGGAGGATGGCTGGGGAGGGGGTACTTATGGAGGACCTCACTGCCTGGGGAAGGGACTTCACTCAGCAAGAAATAGGGCACTGAGGCTGGTTCTATAGCAGAGGCCATTTGGAGGAGGGAATGATCTGCAAAGGTTGGTCTGGAAGTGGAGGGCAGGGAGGTCTGGAAGGGAGGGCAGGGAGGAAGACAGAAATCCAGGAGACCAGCTTAGAGGCTGGGCAACCTCCTGGGCACAAGAAATAAGGGCCCAGGCCAGGATGTTGCAGAGGAGAAAGGAGGCAACCAAGAGAACAAACCTCCACTCCCGAGGCCAAGGCGAAACTGACTTCTCTCCCTCTCCTTCCTGCACAGCAGTTGGTTTCCTCCAAACAGCGTGTCACCGGTTTGGACTTTATTCCTGGGCTCCACCCTGTCCTGAGTTTGTCCAAGATGGACCAGACATTGGCAGTCTACCAACAGATCCTCACCCGTCTGCCTTCCAGAAATGTAATCCAAATATCTAATGACCTGGAGAACCTCCGGGACCTTCTCCACCTGATGGCCTTCTCCAAGAGCTGTCCCTTGCCCAGGGCCAGGGGCCTGGGGACCTTGGAGAACCTGGGTGGCATCCTGGAAGCTTCACTGTACTCCACAGAGGTGGTGGCCCTGAGCAGGCTGCAGGCGTCACTGCAGGACATGCTGCGGCAGCTGGACCTCAGCCCTGGGTGCTGAAGCCTTGGGGCCTCTCTTCCCAAAGTGTCTCCATGAGAAGAGAGCCTGTGTGGATACCGTTTATTGGGCTTCCGCCCACCTCTCTCACTCCTCTAAGCCACTCTTCCGGAGGCGGAAGACTCCAAGGCACAAAGCTGAGGGTAGAAGGCCATGATTCCTCACTCACCAGAAAGGGGAAAAGGGGACCCCTCCAGCAGCAGCGGACTGGACGTGGATCTCTCACAAGTCTCCCCTCATCCAGCTCCCCTTACTGTGTGCTTCAGAGTGCCCCTGGAGTGACTTCAGGGGGCAGGTCACAGGCCTTTGGATGACCAAGCAAAGCTCCACCTGGGAATTCTGGGGAATACCATGAAGGCTACACTCACACACAGCTGGAAACTCCCAAGCAACACAAGTTGGAAGCACTTATTTATTTATTATGCATTTTATCCTAGATGGATTTGAAGCAAAACATCAGCTTTTCCAGGCTCTTTGAGGTCCTTGCATTCCAGATGGCAATTGAGGTCAGGGCTAGGCATTCTGGGGTGCTATTTCCAATCCCATTGATGGGCCTGGCAGAGGCAAACCTGTTTTGAGTGACTTGAGGCCTCTCAAGTTCGTTTTCTAGTAACTAGCTTTGTTTCTACTATAACTGGTTTTAAATTACAGTGTCTTCAATGTCATTGTCCTGAGCAGATCACCGAGGGCCAGGCATTTTTATTGTTAAGATGAATTTTGTCAAGTGGAATATATAGCTGTGTGCATCTGGGAGTGGGAGGGGGAAGGATCCAGATGCAGTTTCTGAATAACATTCCTGTGATGGGCTCTTTGGATGGGGTGGGGTCATTTTCTCATCTTCTACAACCACTTAGTTTGGTTTTCGCAAAAACAACAAAGGAGATGACTCTTTCAGAAGGGCTGCGGGTTTTGCCAGCTGCCCATGGAGGGAGTGGGCATAAGACTGTGTGTTGGGGAAACGGTGAGCTCCGGCCTTCTCTGACTGCCCGAGAGAGAGGTCTTTCCTATCGAGGAGCAAGGAGCCCACACGGGGGCAATGACCCTCTGAGCAGAGGTCCTCAGCTGTGGCCCCAGAATGGTCTGAGAGTTATCCCACCCTGGGTTTATAACACAGCACTGTCCCTCCTTGGAATTTGCATGCCGAATGGTGGTTCTCATCTGAGTGGCTCACCAGAAGCAAGGCCATGTTTCCCACCCATTCAGGGAGGATTTTTATTCCAGTGGAAGGTGAAATCCATGGGAGGGTTGTGGGCTTTAGCAGATTGTCCCAAGACCTGGGCCAGCACTGCTGAGTGAGTCCCAGGACCCCAGGCCAGGCCACCAGGAGTGCCTTTCTCATCAGAGGTCATGTTCAATAGCATGAACAAGGAGGCTCAGGTTTTCCATGCTGCCGCTGTGATGCAGGCCTCCTACCCCAGGTGGTGGATCTGATCAAGGAAATTTGAATCAAAACAATCAGCCTTAGGACTGAGCACCTACTCTGTGCTCAGCCCTGATTGGTGCTGTGGGCTAGAGCTCACCAAGTAACATTAAAATCCAGGCCTGCCCTCGGAACCTTGCATTCCAGATGGCAAAAACCCCACACACCCTCATGCCATGGCTGGCTTTTCACCAGGGCAACCAAGCAGCTGAAGCACAGTGCCGACCCAGCCGGTGGGGAGTGCTGGGCTGCCCATGGCAGTGCCCAGGGGCCTACAGGCTCACCCTCCTTGCTCTTGGTAGCATTTTTACCTTTTCAGGGCACATCAGCATCTGTTACTGTGTAGCCACATCTCTTTGAAGCAGGATAGCTGAGAACTTAAAAATAAGAAAATACCCAAGACCATGACAGCAGACAGGCGGCAGGGCCAGGACTAGAACTCACGTCCTCCGGCCCCCAGAGTGTCCCTTGAACCAGATAATGTTCTCTGGAGGTGCAAATAGGGTTGAGCAGGGGAATCCAGGAGTGCTAGCTGGAAAGGAGGAATTTCAAGGCCCATTTTGTGGGTGAGGGATATGAATTGCCTGGAGGGAAGAGGCTGCTTCGTTTGAAGTTTTGGTGTGTGGAGATGCCAAGTGTGAGCAGCCAGCTGTGAAGAAAGGCGGAGAAAGGAAAGACGGGGGAAAGGGGACATGTTGAAGACGCCTTCAGGGGCAAAGAAGTTCGACATTGGAAGGTACAAGTCAAATGTTCTAGAGCAGAGACTCAGGAGAGGGACTGAATAAGACCCGCTCTGGACAGTAAGACCTAGACAATCATGGCCACCAAGTCAGGCTGGGATGTTTTATGCCTTTCACTCACCAAAACCTGGCACCGTGGCTCATTCTCAGTGTGAAACTTCCAAATGTAAATGATTGTCTTTTTTTATAACTCAAAAAAAAATTGCTGTCAAAAAATGTCCAAATAAATTACCTTTACCCCCGGGTCTTTGCTTTCTGTCACCTTTTGTGGAGGGGCTTCAGAAGGGCTGTTTGTGGGCTACAGGGCAAGGCCTGGCTGGCCTCGCTCCATCCCTGGGGTCAGCTCTGCCTGGGTTTGGCCACAGCCAGCCACCAGTTATTCAGGCGAAAGGATTCCCCCAGAGCACAGAGCTGGCAGAAGGAGCGCGCTCTGCACCAGAGCCAGTGTGGGTCTGCAGATCAGCCGTGAGAAGCACCACATTATTTAAAAAACCGACAAAAGAACTGCCACCACAACAAAACCCTGAGCAAACAAACACAAACATGCAGCCCACTAACAGACCCACCCAGGTGCACAGACTCACAAAGACAGGACTTTTCGTGTAGCTGGCACAGGGCCACAGCCAGTCATTTCTGCAGACAACGAGGACCTGATGGTTTCAACCCAAGTCCAGGGAGAATTCGGAGGCTAGCCCATCAACGCCATTCACTTCCACAGATGATTTCAGGGACCTTCCCAAAAAAAACGCGGGTGGGCACTCTGAGGCTGAAATGGGATGACAGCCCAGCACAATGCCTGGTTTGCAGCAGATTTAAGTGAACCTTCTTCCCTTCACATCACAATTAGCAACAGGCTTTAAATGTCAGTGATCCAGGCCCAGGGAAAACAGGGCAAAACCTCAAGTATAAATGATAGTTGCCCGTCCTTTCTGAGTCCTCGTTTAGGTTGGGGAGGAAGGGGGAAAACTCCAGTGAGGGGAGTCTCCAGAGGGGGGCAGCCATGTGTGACTGATGCAGCCTAAGTGGGTCACTTGGCAGCTCAGGGAAGTGGCTGGCCTCTGTACCAGCCAGAGTCCTTTAGCAGAAAGCGACTTGCAAGCTAACTTAATGCAAACCAACTTTAAAAGAATATTTTGGCCCACATTGGTAAGAAGTCCAGGCTGTGGCCCACCTCTTACAACCCTTCACTCTGCACTCGTCCCCAGGGACCTCAGGGGCTGTGATTCACCCCAGTCCCCGCCTGCCAGAGATGAGTGACAGGGGTCTGGGGATGATGTGTTTGCCCCTCGGGGTCTGGGACGTCTGAGGCATCTTGTTTCTGAGCAGTAATGAGCCTGAGAAGCACCCTAATCCCAGTGGCTCGGGCAGCCAGCCCACAGCGACTGGGGCCTCAGAGCCATTCCCTCCTCTGTGAGGTGACTCCGGGGCTAGAGTGGAAGGACGTGTTCTTCGAGTTGTCCTTCTGGACACTTTGCCATCCTCAGCATTCTCTTGCTCTCCCCTGAGGCAGCAGCTCCCATCTGCCAAGCACCTGGCAGAGTCTGGGGGCAGCATCGGACCGTACTCAACCTTGAAGGCAAGACTTGCAAAGACTAGTGAGAAAAAAGTCAGATCAACCCAGTGGGACTTTTAAGAAGACCCCACCCCAGAAGTTTTCTGTGCAACAGCATACAAAAAAATCATACCCCCTTATTCTAAAAAAATTATACCCCATTTTCCAAAAGTACACCCCAATTTAGAGCAATTTATTCCAGGCTTTTACTGTTAGGATCTGAGCCTGGGGATGTGTGACCACTCAAGTCCACTTAACTGGGTTAAGTTCGCCAGTACATTGTCATCCACAGCCCCACAGGATCCTTTCTCTGGGAACTCACCATGGCAGCCCCGAAGATGGTGAAATTCAGGATATAAAAAAGGTCATGGAGCCCTGTGTGCCTCACCTCAACCCCAGTTCCCAGCCCAGAGGCTGCTTACCCCTTAGGTAAGTTACTTTACCTCTCTTGACCTGTTCTCATCTGTACAATGGGGATTTGACAGCACCTTCATCAAAAGACTTTAGAAGATGAGATGAAAAAATGTTTGGGAAGCTATTAGACGAATGGCTGATAAGCAAAAAGCAGTCAGTACACTATGTTGTTATTGGTATATACAAGGCAGAGAAGCAACAGGGATGAGAACTACTATACCAGGGTCCCTACCTCTGAGACACGCTGTGGTGATGGGGGCACCCTTGCCCAGCGCTCCCACACCTCTCCACTAGGATGCCTTAGGGAGCCCGCTCACCCACACAGGGCTGCCTGAAGGGGAGGTGACAGTGAAGGCCCCAGAGAAGCAAGTCACAGCCAGGGGGTCTGCAGAGAAACGCCCAGCCTCCCACCCACCACAGGCGCAATGCTGCAGGTGGATTCTACACCACGGAGCCCGGGTGCCCACATGGGTCACCACATCAGGGGGGCACGCTCAGCTGGCTTTCCTTCCTTTCCACTTTCTCCCTGTCCTTCACTCCCGCTTCCTCAGGTCTCCTTCCCAAAACACCTCCTGCACAGGACCCTTGTGTCAGGTGCCACTCTTGGGGAACCACACCCCAAAGCTCTGAGAGCCTCTGGCGGCCCAGAGGAATGACGACACGTAAGAGAGGGAAGGAGAGAGGCATCCTCAGGACGAAAGGAGTCCGCCACAGGAAAGCCTGGCTTGGGAAAGAGAGCCAGGACAGGAGGAGGAATCTACTAAGATGGAAGAACTGCAAGATCAGTAGGAAAGGAAGGGAGAGAGAGGGAGAACGGGAGGAAGAGGACACTGAAAAGAGGAGAAATACGTATGAAGTCAAACATCACCTGTCGTAGTGCTGACTCCCAAAGAGTAGGTGGTTTATAAACAGAAATTCATTTCTCGCAGTTCTGAAGGCTGGGAGTCCGAGATCAAGGTGCCAGCAGACTGTGT